TTTTTGATCAAAACATTTGTTTTTGAGATAAAAATGATTCAGTGATTAAAGTATTACTAATTATCCTATAACTGGTGGAGAAGTGGCATTCATACCTTTCTAAGTGGTATTTTTGACGGAAGTGAATTTTAACAAACTCTGCTGGAATTTGAACTCGGCTCACCGATTAACAATTCTGAGCCATTATTCAGTACACCACAGCATTCCAGTATCACAGCAGCTTGTATTACCACGTTGTCCCCCAGCAATGTAATGTACTGACCAGGCTCAGTGTTGCTCATCTTCTGTGATCATACGAGAGCCTGTGTCTCAATGTGGCTGTAAGTAACGATGTATGAAGGAAAATGGAAACAAAAGGAAATCACTTACTTACTAGCAGAAAGACATTGTTGACATTTCTAGGACACATCTGAGGGTTTGTAGAATCTGATACACTCAGGACTTAATCAATACAAGAAAGATAGATAGAAGTAAACAGCGAGTCACGTATTCCTTTTATTTTACAAGAGAACGTCTTATTTCTGTCAAAGTTAAAGTACTGATGATACTATAGACTGATCAATTTTCAGTAAATTAATGACGATGTATTTACTAACTAGGAAATTAAAAGGAAATGGAAATAAAAAGGAATCTTATTTTTAGGACCAGAAAATTTAATTTTAAGTTTCTAGTATACATAATGAGAAGAGATCGCTTTGAGAATTGGATACTCACAAGGCATAAAGAACATATGAATAGCAGAGGAAAGCAACGCGTAACGTACCGAAAGATCTTATGCAAATGGATTGAAGAACTAGGAATGAAAGGGATGGGGAAAAGACAGGGTTAATGATAGGAAGTTGTGGAGAGCTATTTTCCCCCACGTCATTAAGGGAGATGGTACCAATAATAATAAGAAGAACCTAAGAAATATAAGCTAACGAGTATATGCTGCCAAGAATCCACTTATATTATGTAAGGAAACATTTATTACAGCAGGATAACTTAGCCATTAAACATTTTAATGTCGCCAAGGATTTGTTTTGAATGCAAAATAAATATGTTTAAATCGCTTCCTGTTGTTCTTTAATCATTTCAATCGAAAAGCTTAGGGGCTACTGTGAGTGAAAGAGCATGAGGTGAAAAACATTATCAAAGAGAGCGGAAAATAAAAAAAAGACTGAGACAGAAGATGACAGTTAGAATAACATTTACATTTTTGAAGTTGACTAGAAAAGATGACACCCAAAACAGCTATCTACAAGCGGGAAGAGCGAGAAACGGTTAGTATTAAAATTCTATTAAATTCACCAGCTGCCAATCAAGTACACGACATAAGTGCATAAATTCTATGTACCTTAGAGGCAAGTTCAAAACAATTACCCTGAAAATACTTATAGAAAATGCACAGATAAGGCACAATGCTTCGGTGTGAAAGTGACTGAAATTGAGATGGCGGTTTAGGACAGATAATATCGCAGACTATTTAAGGATTTCGGCAGAAGCACAAGATAAGATGTGGAAGCAAAATTCAATGTATGGACGAATAGTAGATTTGTGAATGTGATACCATATAAAGAACCAAACTCCCTAGCAGCACACAATTTACATTATTCGGATTATTGTCCTCATTTTTGTCGCCATGTTTATCACAACGTTTCAGCTGTTGTACGCACCGGCCTCCTCCAGTTGGTTAGAATGTACGACATTACAAAAACCGGAATCAGGCCGGAAGGTACAACAAAATATGGCGACAAAGATGAGGACAATAGTCCGAATAATGTAAATAGTGTACAAAATACACCATCTCAGAAATATAGACATATCCCTAGCAGCGATTGAGTCAATATAATCGGTCCAAAGTCAAAAAAGTTAGACCGAGGATGTGCAAAGAGTCTCTCATTTGTAGGTAAACTACTAAATGACATATTATAAATCTCTTTTCCATCAAATTCTCTCTCAATCTTCATTGCGACTCTGGGGATGGGTTTATGCAATTCTCATCATCATACTGTAGAAATGATCTATCTCACGGTAAGATGTTTTATACGGAGAACTATATTGTATTGATTGTATTGACCCTTTTTCTCTTTCGTTTAACTTGATATTTTAAATAGTAATGGAGCTTTAATCAAAAGGCTACATTTCTGCAATATAAGGTTCCTCCCTAACTACGGGTTAAATTTGGTAAAATGATTTCAGATTCATCTAATTAATGAAGTGCTTATTCCACTTTCCCTACATTAATTCAGTAGACCACTGAGTGGTGCCTAAAAGCCAGATGTAAATGAATGTGAGCTCCAAGAGGCTAAAAAAATACGAAGCAACGTGGTGAATAACATCCCTCAATCCCTGCTGAATGCAGCAGGGAGAAGTATTAGAAAAGAAATGTATCAAATAATAAAATTAACAAGAAGATCTTCATGAATATAAGCTAAATAGTATGTGGTACCAAGTACAACCAATATCAATTATGAAAAGGAAACATTTACTCCAGCAGTAATATATATATATATATATATATATATATATATATATATATATATATATATATATATATATATATAATTATTAATTTAAAAATATGATTCCAACACGCTACATAAGAGTTCTCATGTTTCAAAACAAGAGCCGAAAGTAGGACTGTTCATCTTCAAAATATATATATATATATATATATATATATATATATATATATATATACAAATATATATATATATATTCGCATATATACAAATATATATATATATATATATATATATAAATATATATATATATATATATATATATATATATACATATATATATATGTATGCATATACGTATATATACATGTTTATATATATATATATATATATATATATATATATATATATATATATATATATAGGGGAGAGGAGAGAGACAGAGAGAGACAGAGAGAGAGTGAGATTAAAGAATGTCAAAGAGGAACTGCAATTAATCCTTTTATGCAATAACTATTTTATTCGCCTAATGTTTCCTTTTCTAATCATAAAGTCTGTAAATGGGGTAGGGTGTATATGTATATATTTATATGTATCACAGAACATTGACGCCACCACTCAGAGGCGACATGCTGCTTCACGATTGCGTCCAGCATGAAACAGCCTGATGCTGTGTGTGTTGACTTCAATGTTCACTTTTTATATTTAAATTTACATACACTCTATCTCGGATATTTAGCATTTTATCTCATAAATATAGCACACCTTAACACTATATTTCTTCATATACATATATATATATATATATATATATATATATATATATATATATATATATATATATATATATATATATAGTCTTCGTTATTAGATAGGGCTGTTATTTTTGTTGAGAATAATGCATCGCCCACAAGGTTGAAAAATATATTTATATATATACCGCTTTGTTTTTAATTTTCATGAAGACTTTTTCTTTCTTCAATTCTTTTTAGCTTTTATGAATGTCTTTCTCTCATTTGGGCTTTCATGAATACGTTTCTTTTTAACTTCCTTGAATACATTTCTTTATTACTTTTTAAGTTCCATCAATACCTTACTTTCTTTCTTTCTTTTTAGCTTTCTTGAATAACTATCATTCTTTCTTTCTTTTTATCTTACATCAATACCTTTCTTTCTTTCTTTCTTTTTAACTTTCATTCGTTGTTTCTTTCTTTCTTTTTAACTTCCATCAATACAATTCTTTCTTTCTTTTTAACTTTCATAAATACCTTACATTCATTCTTTCTTTCTTTCTTTTTAACTTCGATCAATACCTTTCTTTCTTTCTTTCTTTCACTTTATGAATAAGTTGTTTCTTTTCCTTTCTTTCTTTCTTTTTTATCTTACATCAATACCTTTCCTTCTTTCTTTTTTTTTAACTTTCATGGATATGTTTCTACTTTCTTTTCAACTTCCCTATATATATATATATTTATATATATATATTTCGATAGAGAGTGAGAGAGAGAGGGAGGAAGATAGAGATAGAGAGAGAGATGTTCTGAGACAGATTGACACAGGGGGAGATAACTCTGCAAGAAAATAACTGCTGGCGTTACTCCTTGTTGCCTTTATTTTCGAGAAATATTTTTTTTTAAAAAAAAGCGACATTACGAACAATCAACCATATGTTTTGGAGTTTAGAATAGACACAAATGCTCGCTTGTAACTAGTAAGGCGTTTTGTTGAAAATATCGAATGTCGATGTCAGACAATGCGAACATAAGCCCTTTTATTTTCATGATCTGTCAAACATTGTATACAGAAATGGCGCTGAGACTTCAAGGGTTAAATGTGATACAACTGGGGAAAAAGGCATCTGTGTTAGGAATCATCAAAGATGGAAGATGTTTTGACGCGAGAAATGATTCTCTGTTTTGAAATATGATTCGCTTTGTCATCAAGACTTCATGTTAAGAAGAGCTAAAAGAAACAAAGTAGAGAAAACTAAGAAATTAAGACAGAGAAGAAAATGAAAACAAAAAAGAAAAAAGAGATAGAAAGAAAGAAAGAAAATGAATGAAAACCTGCGTAGAAGTTAACAAGAAAGAAATCAAGGGAAAACGAAGATGGATAAATAAAGACAGTCACAGAAAACGCTAGCATAGAACCAAAGAAAGCATAAATGGTTGAAAACGAACAAGAAAAGACAAAAAGGAAAAACTGAAGAAAAACAAAGAAAGAAAGAACTAGAAAAGAAAGAAATAAGAAAATAAATGTAAAAGAATAAGGAAAATCAAGGAAAGAAAACAAAGAAAAATTAAGAAAGAAATTAAAGAGGAAAGACATTCAGGAAAGTTTCAAAGAAGAAATAAAATGATATCTATGAAAGTTAAACATGAATAAAAAAAACAGAGGAAGAAAGATATTCATGAAGGTTAAAAAAGAAACAAAGAAACAAAGAAAAAAAAGGAGGATATTTATGAAAGTTAAAAAGAAGGAAAGCAGTGAATGTAGTCATGAAAGAAAAAAAGAGGAAATATATACATGAAAATTAAAGGGAAAAAAAAGATATTCCTAAAAGCTAAAAAGAAAGAACGAAGGAAAGATATTCGTGAAAGTTAAAAGAAAAAAAGAAGGAAATTTATGCAGGAATGTTAAAAAAGAAAGAAAGAAATATATGTGAATGCTAAAAAGTAAGAAAGAAAGAAAGAAAGAGTGAGATACCTTCATAGAATTTAACAAGAAAGAAAGTGAGAAAGAAAGAAATTCATTAAATTTAAAAAGAAAGAATGGTGCCCCTGAGAATTAAAATTATAACAAGAAAAATATTTATAAATGTTAAAAAAGAAAGAACGAAAGAAAAATATTCATGAGAGTCAAAAAGAAAGAAATATGTTCTTGAAATTTAAAATGAACATATGAAAGGTATATATAATAATTAAAAAAAGAAATATATTCATGTAAGATAATAAGATAGAATGAAAGCAAGAAAGAAAGAATGGTATTAAAGAAAGTTAAAAAAAGTGCTTTAAGCTAGAAAGGGTTACTGAATGAGGAACAATTAAAACGGAAGTTGGAAATGAAATAGTAATCTTTATAACATCAACAAAATACAATACTCGCCAGCGGCGTGAAGTAGGTAAACCACTGCTAGTGGTGGACTACATAGACAGCATATTCCCCCCAACACTTACAATAGCGTCCAACGTATTTGTGAGTATTAGTACATACCCATTAGTGTTCATAGGCACTGTATATAACAGCGAGCTTCTGCAGTATCAGCCTTTTCCGAGTATTGTCATGAAAGTTAAAAAGAAAGATATTCTTGAAATTTAAAAAGAACGAAAGAACGGTATATATGATAATTAAAAAAAAGAAATATATTCATGTAAGATAAAAAGAAGGAAAGAATGAAAGAAAGGTATTAAAGAAAAGTAAAAAAAAAAGAATTGTAATAACCTAGAAAATGTTACTGAATGAGGAATAATTAAAACGGAAGTTGGAAATGAATTGTTAATCATTATAACATCAACAAAATACAATACCTGTCAGCGACATGAAATAGTTAAACCAATGCTTGTGGTGGACTACTTAGGCAGCATATTATCTTCACTTACAATAGTTTCCAACGTATTTATAAGGACTAGAATACCTTTTAGCGTTCATAGGTACAGTATATAACAAATAGAAAGAATGATTTTCATAAAAGTTAAAAAAAAGAATGAAAGTTCGTAGTTCAGAGGTGAGGGACACCTATCGTGAGACCCGGGTTTAAAATGGGCTGATGTAGAGAATCCATTGATAAAAGAATATGCTGATGGGGGAACGGTAATAAAGTCCATGAGAAGTCTCATTTAGCTCACCCAGATAAGGGATGAGATGACAAGGGAATTGGGAGCAAGAGCGACCATAGCTTTCCCTGAGGATGCAAGAGAGAATGCCTCAATTCAGAAACTATTGGTAGATTTGTCGTGTATGCGCGTGAAAATGACCGCATCAAGCAATACCTGATAAAGGATGCCACTGTTAGAAATTCTTGAAAATTTCAAGAATGATATATATTCAAGAAATTTAAAAAGAAAGAAAGAATGGTAGACATAAAAGTTACAACATAAGAAATATATTCATCAAAGAGAAAAAGAAAGAAAGAAAAATATTCAAGAAAGTTAAAAAGAAAGAAAAATATGAAATTTAAAAAGGAAGAAAAACATATACATGAAAGTAAAAACCTGGCATCTTGTCTACAGTCGCTTCTCTCTGTCTTTTTTACAAGTACTTTCATGGTAATTGCTCCGCTGAGCTGCTTTCACTGGTTCCCAGGCTCCATGAATTCAAGCGCCCTACGAGGCTGGCATCCCACTCTCATCCTTACACTGTAGAAACTTTAAAATGTAGCCTCTTCTACTCCAATAGCTTCATACCTCGCACCTCTCGCCTGTGGAACACCCTTCCCAATTACTGTTTCCCTGAGATCTATAATCTCCAACTATTCAAATGTAATGTCAATCGACATCTCGAGTTACCTAGATCTATCCCCTATCCCTCCTCTTCATAATTTCCTCTCTCACTCCTATCTGCTCTCGCTTCAAATCTTCTGCAACCCCCTGCATCCTAGTGGCTGCACGCCTTGCTCCGAGCGTAATGCCTAAAAAAAAGAACAAAGTGATAAATATATTAATGAAAGTAAAATAGAAAGAAAGACATCTTGAAGGTTTAAAAAAAGAAAAAAAACGACATTTATTAAAGTTAAAAACAAAACCGCAAAAAAACAAAGATAAATATATTAATGAAAGTTAAAATGAAAGAAAGGAATAAAAAAGTAGGGAAATGGTGAAAATATGAAAAACATAAAAAAAAAAGAAATAAAGAGGCAAAGAAGAAAAAAAAATGAAAAAAAAAAAAAAAAAAAAAACAAGAACTGGAAAATAATTCCGCAGAAAAAATATGAAATTAATTGTTGGTGAATAAAGAATTTCATATAGATTAAATAGTACACCTTGGTGGCTATATGAACCATTCCATTACTATAAGAAGGTAGACAAACCTGACCCTGTGTATGCGGGGTGTACAAGGAATTTTGCCCGAGCCTACGGTCTCGGAATCGCCCGACATAAAAACCGGCTTTGTGCCACATCCTGCTTTGTAGGGAAATTTGGTAAATATCTAGTCGAATCACAGTCTGTCCCAGGCTTGCAACCAGGCAAGGCGAAGTCTGTCTTCGGAGAGAATGTCAATAACTCCGTCTTCGGATGGAGGATGTCTCAGTCAGTCTTCGTCTTTGGATAGAGATTCGGTGGAGAAAAATCAAACCAGTTCTGTACTAAAGCCATCTTTTGTGAGGGCTGGGCAAATTTTGACCACTGACCTGGGTGGAAACGCACGGTTCTTAGCTTAAAAGTTGATCTTGTGTTACATCTAGTCCGCAGTGGAGCGACGGCTAAATACCAGTCGAACCTGAGTCAGACAGTTTGCTGCCAGGCTTGCGACAGACTTGTTGAATTCTCTGACTTCGGGCAGAGAGGAACCCAGACGAGGCTATGCCTAAGGCAGAATCTCGACTGTAGAGATAAGCAAACCCTACCACGTGTATGCGCTGTCTAAGGGTGATTTATGCTCGAGGTAGGAATCGCCTCACATAAAAACGAGCCTTGTGCCACATCCCTCCTTGCGGGGAGTATTGGGTAGATACCTGTCGAATCGCAGTCAGTCCCAAGCTCGCAACGAGATAAGAAATCCGTCTTCTGACTGAGGGTGAGTCAGTCGAGGATCTTTCTTCGGTCAGAGTATTGTACCCGAAACCGATTTCGCGCAAATTTTGACCAGTGGCCTGGCTGGAACCGCCAGGATTCTCCACATAAAACTTGATATTGTGTCACATATATTCCGCAGTGGGGTGATCGTTAATTACTTATATGAGCGGAGTGAGTCACTAGCTCTGAACAAGACAAGACCCCTGTCTTTGGGCAGAGGGTGACAAAACCTCTGTCTTCGGACGGAGGGTGACTCAATCGAAGCTCTATCTTTGGAGACAGACTCGACTGAATAAAACAAAACATTTGGTGTCAGGCAGTTCACTGTCTCGCTTGCTACTGTCCTACGTCTTTCGGCAAAGAGCGACTTGAGGCTCTACGGACAGAGACTCGGCTGAGAAAGAGAGACGGTAAATTACCCATTCTCCTGCACTTGTGGGGAATTGGTAAATGTGGACCAATTGCCCGAGTGTTCGCACTCGGGTTCCCGACGTTAAATCTGACCTTTTGTCGCCTCCGGTCTAAGTGAGGAGACCTGTGTAAATGGCAAGCCAGTAGAGTCTGTCTTCAGACTAACTAATACAGGTGTCACGCTAAGTAGTCGAATTATTACGTACAGAGAAACCTTATGCGAAGTATATTATATAAGTAATTGTTATCAGAATAGCCATGCAATAGTAGCGTTATGATAGAAATAAAACCATGAAAGATAAAAGACAAATGTAGTAAAAAGATCGAAACGACATCAAGTGAAAGAATGAATGAAAGAAAGAATGAAAAAAGTGCACAATAAAACAAAGGATAAAGAAAGAAATCATTAATTTGAAATCAGGTAAAGAAACAAATAGGTCAAACTAAATGTAAAAAGCAGAGGGAGAGAGAAAAAAAAACATGGAAGATAAAAAAAAGGAAGCAAAATTTTCGAAACCATATCAAGTGAACGAAACAATGACAGAATGATAGAAACAAAAAGAAGACGGGAAAAAATGTTAAAAAAAGAAATAATGTAAAATGAAAGAAAGAAAGAAAGAAAACGGGGAAAGAAAGGGAAAAGAAAACGGGGAAAGAAAGGGAAAAGAAAACGGGGAAAGAAAGGGAAGAGAAAACGGGGAAAGAAAGGGAAAAGAAAACGGGGAAAAAAGCAAGAAAGAAAAAACGGGAAAATAAATAAAGAAAGAAAAGGACAAAAGACAAAAAAAAGAGAAAGAAAGAAAAAGAAAAAAGAATGAAAGTAAACGAGAAAGTATCGAAAGAAAGAAAACGGCATAAGAAAGAAAACAGGAAAAAGAAGGAAAGGAAAAGAGAAAAGAACTCAAGAAAAAAAAATAGCAACATGAGTAAAAAAAAAGGGGAAAAAGAAAGAAGGAAAAAAAGAAAAAAGAGAGAAAATGGCAAAATGAATAAAGAAAACGGAAAAAAGATAGAAAGAAAATTTAGCAAAAGAAAGAAAGAAAACGGAAAAAAGAAAGAAAAAACGGGAAAGAAAGAAAGAAAATGGGAAAAGAAAGAAAATGACAAAATAAAAAAAAATAAAGAAAACGGGAACACGGCAAAAGAAAGAAAGAAAACGGAAAAAGAGAGAAAAAAATGGTAAAATAAATAAAGTAAACAGGGAAAAATTAGGAAATCAGAAAAAGAAAGAAAGAAAACGCATAAGAAAGGAAGAAACAACGGAAAAGAAAGAAAATGCCCAAATAAAAGAAAAAATACATATAAAACGGGAAAATGAAGAAAAAAAGAAAACGGGAATATAAAAAATAAAAACGGGAAAAAAGAAAGAAAGAAAGAAAAAGGAAAAAGGAATAAAGAAAATAAGGTGAGAAAGAAAGAAAACGGGAAAGGAAGAAAATGGCAAACTAATAAAGAAAACGAGAAAAGAAAGCAAACGAGAAAATAAGGAATAAAAACGGGAAACTAAAAAGAAAGAAAACGTGAAAAGAAGAAAGAAAATGAGGAGAGAAGAAATAAAAAGGGAAAGTCCAAATAGAAAAAAGAAAAACAGTAAAAGAAAGAAAAAGACAGCAAAATAAATAAAAGAAAAACAGTAAAAAGAAAGAAAAGACAGCAAAAAAATAAAGAAACAGTAAAAGAAAACAGTAAAATAAAAAGAAAAAAAGAAAGCAAAAGAATAAATAAAGAAAAACAGTAAAAGAAAGAAAAGACAGCAAAAATAAATAAAGAAAACAGTAAAAGAAAAAGAAAAGACAGCAAAATAAATAAAGGAAACAGTAAAAAGAAAGAAAAAGACAGCAAATAAATAAAGAAAACAGTAAAAGAAAAGAAAAAGACAGCAAAAATAAATAAAGAAAAAAGAAAAGAAAGAAAAAGACAGCAAAATAAATAAAAAAAAAGTAAAAGAAAGAAAAGACAGCAAAATAAATAAAGAAAAACAGAAAAAGAAAAGACAGCAAAATAAATAAAGAAAACAGTAAAAGAAAGAAAAGACAGCAAAAATAAAGAAAACAGTAAAGAAAACAGTAAAAAAGAAAGAAAAGACAGCAAAAAAATAAATAAAGAAAACAGTAAAAGAAAAAAAAGACAGCAAAATAAAATAAAAAAACAAACAGTAAAAAAAAATAAATAAAGAAAAAAAAAGACAAGAAAAAAATAAAAAAAAAAGTAAAAGAAAGAAAAAAGACAGAAAAATAAATAAAAAAACAGTAAAAGAAAGAAAAAGACAGCAAAATAAATAAAGAAAACAGTAAAAGAAAGAAAAGACAGCAAAATAAATAAAGAAAAACAGTAAAAAAAAAGAAAAGAATCAGCAAAATAAATAAAGAAAAACAGTAAAAGGAAAGAAAAAAAGACAGCAAAATAAATAAAGAAAACAGTAAAAGAAAGAAAAAGACAGCAAAATAAATAAAGAAAACAGTAAAAGAAAGAAAAAGACAGCAAAATAAATAAAGAAAACAGTAAAAGAAAGAAAAAGACAGCAAAATAAATAAAGAAAACAGTAAAAGAAAGAAAAAGACAGCAAAATAAATAAAGAAAACAGTAAAAGAAAAAGACAGCAAAATAAATAAAGAAAACAGTAAAAGAAAAAGACAGCAAAATAAATAAAGAAAACAGTAAAAGAAAAAGACAGCAAAATAAATAAAGAAAACAGTAAAAGAAAGAAAAAGACAGCAAAATAAATAAAGAAAAACAGTAAAAAGAAAGAAAAAAAGACAGCAAAATAAATAAAGAAAACAGTAAAAGAAAAAGACAGCAAAATAAATAAAGAAAACAGTAAAAGAAAAAGACAGCAAAATAAATAAAGAAAACAGTAAAAGAAAGAAAAAGACAGCAAAATAAATAAAGAAAACAGTAAAAGAAAGAAAAAGACAGCAAAATAAATAAAGAAAACAGTAAAAGAAAGAAAAAGACAGCAAAATAAATAAAGAAAAACAGTAAAGTAAAAAAAAAAGAAAAAGAAAGAAAAATAAAAAATAAATAAAGAAAAACAGTAAAAGAAAGAAAAGACAGCAAATAAATAAAAAAAAAAAGTAAAAAAAAAGAAAAAGACAGCAAAATAAATAAAGAAAACAGTAAAGACAGAAAAAGAAAAGACAGCAAAATAAATAAAAATAAAACAGTAAAAAGAAAAAGACAGCAAAAATAAATAAAGAAAAAACAGTAAAAGAAAGAAAAAAAGACAGCAAAATAAATAAAGGAAACAGTAAAAAAGAAAGAAAAAGACAGCAAAAATAAATAAAGAAAAAACAGTAAAAGAAAGAAAAGACAGCAAAATAAATAAAGGAAACAGTAAAAGAAAGAAAAGACAGCAAAATAAATAAAGAAAACAGTAAAAAGAAAAAAAGACAGCAAAATAAATAAAGAAAACAGTAAAAGAAAAAGAAAAAAAAAAAAAATAAATAAAGAAAAACAGTAAAAGAAAGAAAAAGACAGCAAAAAATAAATAAAGAAAAACAGTAAAAGAAAAAAGAAAAAGTAAATAAAGAAAACAGTAAAAGAAAAAAGAAAAGACAGTAAAAAATAAAGAAAAAGAAAAAAAGTAAAAGAAAAAAAGACAGTAAAATAAATAAAGAAAACAGTAAAAGAAAAAAAGACAGCAAAATAAATAAAGAAAAAGTAAAAGAAAAAGACAGCAAAAATAAATAAAGAAAAAAAAGTAAAAGAAAAGAAAAAGACAGCAAAATAAATAAAGAAAAACAGTAAAAAGAAAAGAAAGACAAAATAAATAAAATAAAAAAAGTAAAAAAGAAAGAAAAAGACAGCAAAATAAATAAAGAAAACAGTAAAAAAAAGAAAAAAAAAAGACAGCAAAATAAATAAAGAAACAGTAAAAGAAAAAGAAAAGACAGCAAAATAAATAAAGAAAAAAAAAAAAGAAAGAAAAAGACAGCAAAATAAATAAAGAAAAAACAGTAAAAGAAAAAAAAGACAGAAAAATAAATAAAGAAAACAGTAAAAAGAAAGAAAAAGACAGCAAAATAAATAAAGAAAACAGTAAAAGAAAGAAAAGACAGCAAAATAAATAAAAAAAAAGACAGTAAACAAAAGAAAGAAAAAGACAGCAAAATAAATAAAGAAAATAGTAAAAAAATAAAAAAGAAAAGACAGCAAAATAAATAAAAAAAACAGTAAAAGAAAGAAAAAAGACAGCAAAATAAATAAAGAAAACAGTAAAAGAAAAAAAGACAGAAAATAAATAAAAAAAAGAAAAGAAAAAAGACAGCAAAATAAATAAAGAAAACAGTAAAAGAAAAAGACAGCAAAATAAATAAAGAAAAAAAGAGTAAAAGAAAGAAAAAGACAGCAAAAAAATAAAAGAAAACAGTAAAAGAAAGAAAAAAAGAAAGAAAACAGTAAAATAAAAAAAGAAAAAAAATAAAAAAGAAAACAGTAAAAAGAAAGCAAAATAAATAAAGAAAACAGTAAAAGAAAAAAAGACAGCAAAATAAATAAAGAAAACAGTAAAAGAAAAAAAAGACAGCAAAATAAATAAAGAAAACAGTAAAAGAAAAAAAAGAAAAAAAATAAATAAAAATAAAGAAAACAGTAAAAGAAAAGAAAAAAGACAGCAAAATAAATAAAGAAAACAGTAAAAAAAAAAAAAAAGACAGCAAAATAAATAAAGAAAACAGTAAAAGAAAAGACAGCAAAAATAAATAAAAGAAACAGTAAAAGAAAAGAAAAGCAAAATAAATAAAGAAAACAGTAAAAGAAAGAAAAAGACAGCAAATAAATAAAGAAAACAGTAAAAGAAAAAAAAGACAGCAAAATAAATAAAGAAAAACAGTAAAAGAAAAAGAAAGACAAAAATAAATAAAGAAAACAGTAAAAAGAAAGAAAAAGACAGCAAAATAAATAAAGAAAACAGTAAAAGAAAAAAAAGACAGCAAAAATAAATAAAGAAAAAAGTAAAAAAAGAAAAGACAGCAAAATAAATAAAGAAAAAAAGACAGTAAAAGAAAAAAAGACAGCAAAATAAATAAAGAAAAAAACAGTAAAAAGAAAAGACAAAAAAATAAAAAACAATAAAGAAAAAAGTAAAAATAAATAAAGAAAAGAAAAAAAATAAATAAAGAAAAAAGTAAAAAAAAAGAAAAAAAAGACAGCAAAATAAATAAAGAAAAATTTGTAAAAGAAAGAAAAGACAGCAAAATAAATAAAAGAAAACAGTAAAAGAAAAAGAAAAAGACAGCAAAAAAAAATAAAGAAAAACAGTAAAAAAAGAAAGAAAAGACAGCAAAATAAATAAAGAAAAACAGTAAAAGAAAGAAAAAAGACAGCAAAATAAATAAAGAAAACAGTAAAAGAAAGAAAAAGACAGTAAATAAAGAAAACAGTAAAAGAAAAAAAGACAGCAAATAAATAAAAACAGAAAACAAAAAAAAAAAAGAAAGCAAAATAAAAAGAAAAAGAAAACAGTAAAATAAAGAAAAAGAAAAAGAAAAAAAAAAAGAAAGAAAAATAAATAAAGAAAACAGTAAAAAAGAAAAAAAAAAAGACAGCAAAAAAATAAATAAAAGAAAACAGTAAAAGAAAGAAAAGAAAGACAAAAAAGAAATAAAGAAAACAGTAAAAGAAAGAAAAGACAGCAAAATAAATAAAGAAAAAAAGACAGTAAAAGAAAGAAAAAGACAGCAAAATAAATAAAGAAAAAAAGACAGTAAAAGAAAAAGAAAAGAAAGCAAAATAAATAAAGAAAACAGTAAAAGAAAGAAAAAGACAGCAAAAATAAAAATAAAGAAAACAGTAAAAGAAAAGAAAAAGACAGCAAAATAAATAAAGAAAACAGTAAAAGAAAAAAAAAGACAGCAAAAATAAAATAAAGAAAACAGTAAAAAAGAAAAGAAAAAAGAAAATAAATAAAGAAAAATAAAAGAAAATAGAAAAAAAAAGAAAGCAAAATAAATAAAGAAAACAGTAAAAGAAAAGACAGCAAAATAAATAAAGAAAACAGTAAAAGAAAGAAAAAAAAGACAGCAAAATAAATAAAGAAAACAGTAAAAGAAAAAAAAAGACAGTAAAATAAATAAAGAAAAACAGTAAAAGAAAGAAAAAGACAGCAAAAAAATAAATAAAGAAAAAACAGTAAAAGAAAGAAAAGACAGCAAAATAAATAAAGAAAACAGTAAAAGAAAAAGAAAAGACAGCAAAATAAATAAAAGAAAACAGTAAAAGAAAGAAAAGACAGCAAAAGGTCTCGTAAAACAGTAAAAAAAAAAAAGAAAAAAAAAGCAAAATAAATAAAAAAATGGTCCAAAGAAAGAAAAAGACAAAAAAAGGACATAAATAAAGAAAACAGTAAAAGAAAAGAAAAGACAGCAAAATAAATAAAGAAAAAGTAAGTAAAAGAAAGAAAAGAAAAACAAATAAATAAAGAAAAACAGTAAAAGAAAGAAAAAAGACAAAAAATAAATAAAGAAAACAGTAAAAAGAAAAAAAGACAGCAAAAAAAATAAAGAAAACAGTAAAAGAAAGAAAAAGACAGCAAAATAAATAAAGAAAAAAGTAAAAGAAAAGAAAAGAAAAGACAGAAAATAAATAAAGAAAAACAAAAAAAAAAAAAAAAGACAGCAAAATAAATAAAGAAAAACAGTAAAAGAAAGAAAAAGACAGCAAAATAAATAAAAGAAAACAGTAAAAGAAAAAGAAACAGCAAAATAAATAAAGAAAAACAGTAAAAGAAAGAAAAAGACAGCAAAATAAATGAAGAAAAAAAGAAAAGAAAAGAAAAAGAAAGCAAAATAAATGAAGAAAAAAATAAGTAAAAGAAAAAAAAGACAGCAAAAATAAAAAAAGAAAAAGACAGTAAAAAAGAAAAAGACAGTAAAAAAAAAGACAAAAAAAATAAATAAAAAAAACAGAAAGAAAAAAAAGACAGCAAAATAAATAAAGAAAACAGTAAAAGAAAAGACAAAAATAAATAAAGAAAAAAAGAAAAGACAGTAAAAGAAAAAAAAGACAGCAAAAAAAATAAAAGAAAAACAGTAAAAGAAAGAAAAAGACAGCAAAATAAATAAAGAAAAACAGTAAAAGAAAGAAAAAGACAGCAAAATAAATAAAGAAAAACAGTAAAAGAAAAAAAGACAGCAAAAATAAATAAAGAAAAACAGTAAAAGAAAAAAAAAGACAGCAAAATAAATAAGAAAAACAGTAAAAAGAAAAAAAAAGACAGCAAAATAAATAAAGAAAAAAAAACAGTAAAAGAAAAAAAAAAAGACAGCAAAATAAATAAAGAAAACAGTAAAAAGAAAAAAAAGACAGCAAAATAAATAAAGAAAAAGTAAAAAAGAAAAGACAAAAAAATAAATAAAGAAAACAGTAAAAAGAAAAAAAGACAGCAAAAATAAATAAAGAAAAAAGTAAAAGAAAAAAAAAAAGACAGCAAAATAAATAAAGAAAACAGTAAAAGAAAAAAAAAAAGACAGCAAAATAAATAAAGAAAAAACAGTAAAAGAAAGAAAAAAGACAGCAAAATAAATAAAGAAAACAGTAAAAGAAAGAAAAAGACAGCAAAATAAATAAAGAAAAAAGAGTAAAAGAAAGAAAAAGAAAGATAAAAAAAATAAAGAAAACAGTAAAAGAAAAAAAAGAAAAGAAAAATAAATAAAGAAGAAAAAGAGTAAAAGAAAAAAAAGAGAGACAAAATAAATAAAGAAAACAGTAAAAGAAAAAAAAAGACAGCAAAATAAATAAAGAAAACAGTAAAAAAAAAAAAAGACAGCAAAAAAAATAAAAGAAAACAGTAAAAGAAAGAAAAAAAAGACAGCAAAAATAAAAAAAAAGAAAAAAGAAAAAACAGTAAAAAAGTAAAGAATAAATAAAACAGAAAGAAAAAAGACAGCAAAATAAATAAAGAAAACAGTAAAGAGAAAGAAAAAGACAGCAAAATAAATAAAAAAAAACAGTAAAAAGAAAGAAAAAGACAGCAAAAAATAAATAAAACAGTAAAAGAAAGAAAAAGACAGCAAAATAAATAAAGAAAACAGTAAAGAAAAAAAAAAGACAGCAAAATAAATAAAGAAAACAGTAAAAGAAAGAAAAGACAGCAAATAAATAAAGAAAACAGTAAAAGAAAGAAAAAAAAGACAGCAAAAATAAATAAAGAAAACAGTAAAAAAAAGAAAAGACAGCAAAATAAATAAAGAAAACAGTAAAAGAAAAGACAGCAAAAATAAATAAAGAAAACAGTAAAAGAAAGAAAAGACAGCAAAATAAATAAAACAGAAAAAGTAAAAGAAAAAAAAACAGCAAAAATAAATAAAGAAAACAGTAAAAGAAAGAAAAGACAGCAAAATAAATAAAGAAAACAGTAAAAGAAAGAAAAGACAGCAAAAATAAATAAAGAAAAACAGTAAAAGAAAAGAAAAGAAAAAAATAAATAAAGAAAAACAGTAAAAGAAAAGAAAAGACAGCAAAATAAATAAAGAAAAACAGTAAAAAGAAAAAGACAGCAAAAAAAATAAAAGAAAAAAAAAGACAGTAAAAGAAAGAAAAGACAGCAAAATAAATAAAGAAAATAGTAAAAGAAAGAAAAGAGCAAAATAAATAAAGAAAACAGTAAAAACAGAAAAAGAAGACAGCAAAATAAATAAAGAAAATAAAAAGTAAAAGAAAGAAAAAGACAGCAAAATAAATAAAAACAGAAAACAGCAAAATAAATAAAGAAAACAGTAAAAGAAAAAAAAAAATAAAGAAACAGTAAAAAAAAAAGAAAAACAGTAAAAAAAAAAAAAAGACAGCAAAATAAATAAAGAAAAAAAAGATAAAAGAAAGAAAAAGACAGCAAAATAAATAAAGAAAAATAGTAAAAGAAAAAAAAAGACAGCAAAATAAATAAAGAAAACAGTAAAAAAAAGAAAAAGACAGCAAAAAAAAAAAGAAAACAGTAAAAGAAAAAAAAAAGACAGCAAAATAAATAAAGAAAACAAAAAAAAAAGAAAAAGACAGCCAAATAAATAAAGAAAAACAGTAAAAGAAAACACAGCAAAATAAATAAAGAAAAACAGTAAAAGAAAGAAAAGACAGCAAAATAAATAAAGAAAAACAGTAAAAAGAAAGAAAAGACAGCAAAATAAATAAAGAAAAAAATAGTAAAAGAAAAGAAAGACAGCAAAATAAATAAAGAAAACAGTAAAAGAAAAAAAGACAGCAAAATAAATAAAGAAAACAATAAAAGAAAGAAAGACAGCAAAATAAATGAAGAAAAAGTAAAAGAAAGAAAAAGACAGCAAAAAAAAAATAAAGAAAAAAGTAAAAAGAAAAAAGAAAAATAAATAAAAACAGTAAATAGAAAGAAAAGACAGCAAAATAAATAAAGAAAAAAAATAAAAGAAAGAAAAGACAGCAAAATAAATAAAGAAAACAGTAAAAGAAAGAAAAGACAGCAAAATAAATAAAGAAAACAGTAAAAGAAAGAAAAAGATAGACAAAATAAATAAAGAAAAGTAAAAGACAAAAAAAAAGAAAAGAGACAAAAATAAATAAATAAAGAAAAAAGTAAAAGAAAAGACAGCAAAATAAATAAAGAAAAAAAACAGTAAAAAGAAAAAAAGACAGCAAAAATAAATAAAGAAAAACAGTAAAAGAAAAGAAAAGACAGCAAAATAAATAAAGAAAAACAGTAAAAGAAAAGACAGCAAAATAAATAAAGAAAACAGTAAAAGAAAAAAAGACAGCAAAATAAATAAAGAAAAACAGTAAAAGAAAGAAAAAAAAGAAAGAAAAAGACAAAAAAAAAGAAAAAAATAAAAGAAAGAAAAGACAAAGTAAAATAAAAAAAACAGAAAAGAAAAAATAAAATAAAGAAAAAAAAAGTAAAAAAAAGAAAAAGAAAAAAAAAATAAATAAAAAAACAGTAAAAGAAAGAAAAAGACAGCAAAATAAATAAAGAAAACAGTAAAAGAAAAAGACAGCAAAATAAATAAAGAAAACAGTAAAAGAAAGAAAAAGACAGCAAAATAAATAAAGAAAACAGTAAAAGAAAAAGACAGCAAAATAAATAAAGAAAACAGTAAAAGAAAAAAAAAAAAATACAAAATAAATAAAGAAAAAAAAGAAAAAAAGAAAGAAAAATAAAATAAAGAAAACAGTAAAAAAGAAAGAAAAAAGACAGCAAAATAAATAAAGAAAACAGTAAAAGAAAGAAAAAGACAGCAAAATAAATGAAGAAAAACAGTAAAAGAAAAGAAAAAGACAGTAAAATAAAAAAAAAAAAAACAAATAAAAGAAAAAGACAGCAAAATAAATAAAGAAAACAGTAAAAAGAAAAAAAGACAAAAAATAAATAAAGAAAACAGTAAAAAAAAAAAAACAGTAAAAAGAATAGACAGGAAATAAAACGCAAAAAGAAGATAGAATGCAAAGAAGAACGTAATAAAAATAAACACAAAGAAAACAACAAATGAAAGAATTCAGCAAAAGAAAGAATAAAGGAAGGAACGAAAGAAGAATACATTCTTAAGAAAAGCTGTATCCATAAGGAATAAATAGATATCATTATCATGTATAGATTTCAAACAGTATAATTTTTAGATGTCAAAATGTAGGTTGTCAATACGGTAGCACTGAAACGTCAAAAAGTATAGGTTCTTATACGAACGATTCAAAATAAGACTTCCATGACAGGTGAGTAGGCAAGGGTTAAACGTATAGATTCCCAATTGAATGACTTTGATATGACAGACTGGATAGGTTCTCAAACTGCGAGTTTTACAAAGTCAAAAAGTATAGATTCTTAAACAAATGGTTCTACGCAATCAAAGTAATAGCTTCTATATATGGGTGACTAGACAAGGACACAATGTACAAGTTCCCGATAGGAAGGCGTTGATATGACAGAATGAAGCGAGTCTCAAAATGGGAGTTTTAAAAAGTCAAGAAATATAGTTTCTTAAACGAATGGTTCTACCTAATCAAAATAATAGTTTCTGCATACGGGTGAGTAGACAAGCACAAAAAGAATAAGTTTCCGATTGAATGGCATTGCTATGACAGAATGGAGTCGTTCTCAAAATGCAAGGTTTAAAAAAATCAAAAAATATTGGTTCTTAAACGAAGGAGTGAACATAATAGCTTCTATGCCGGATGGATAGACAAGAGCTAAACGTATAAGTTCCACACTGAATGTCGTTGCTATGGCAGAATGGAGTTCGTCTCAAACTGCGAGCTTAACAAATCAAATATATAGATACTTCACAAGGCGAATACTAAAAAAAGCGAAAAAATACATCCAAAAAATTACTCCCTTTTTACAAATTATATATATATATATATATATATATATATATATATATATATATATATATATATATATATGTATGTATGTGTGTGTGTGTGTGTGTGTGTGTGTGTCTATATATAAAATAAAAATAAAATAAATGTTTCAAATTGTGTGTGTATACCTATATATACATATATACAATAATGAACTCTCCCTTCGGTTTCGACTTATGAGGATCTGACAGCTTAGTTGATTCAGTTATGATATTTTGTGCGATAATCTTAAATAGCATTTAAGACCCGAGCGAAGCTTTGCCGATGTGCAAGGTTTCGTCCGGGGAGGTAGACAGGGCCTGAACCCGTCTAGGCGGGTTCAAGGGCTATAATTTTGTCTCGGATCAACCCACATTAAACCGGCCTTGTGCCATATTCAATCCTCGTGGGTGGATCGATAAATACTAAGAGTCGCTAGTGAATTCAGCAAAGGAGGCCACATATGGAGCAAGTATGAAGATTGTGAGATGAGATCCTCTTAAATTGGATGACCATTAAGATCTTGCTCGCTTCTTGAAGATGATTCGATATATATATATATATATATATATATATATATATATATATATATATATATGCTTGTCTGAATCATATAGTAAAATCTAGCAGGTAGTACCTGCTCATTAGAATTTATATACTCTTGCTCTATTTAGTGTGTTGAGTCTCTTCATTAGAACTCGTTACTTGCTGTTTGTTTCTCTTCGTAGCAGAGATTTAAGGCAATGTACGATTTCTTTCGACCTCTTCAGAGGTTTCTCATGTTTTGTCCTGCCACTTTTCCTCGGGTGCCAATTTATTTGAAAATTAGGTTTTTACCCACCGAGTTTAAATAGATTTAATATATATATATATATATATATATATATATATATATATATATATATATATATATATATATATATATATATATATATACCTTGAGCACATTGTTTGTAACAAAACGAATAATTATTTAATTATTGACATTTTTCGTATTTTTCCAATGAAACATTCCCCAGTGAACATGTCAGTACATCGTATGTCCATTCCACGAAATATTTCCTTGCAGATTGACCACAGATTCTCGATTGGATTTAAATCAGGAAAGTTTTCGGACCAAACTATAACACTTTGATTTTCTCACTGGTAAGACTTGCCAGTGTGTTCGTACAGCGATACAATTTTCGAACGTTTCCTTGGAGTAACATCTAACATAGACAATGACCATAGTGTTTGGGCGTGATAAAAATCTGATGCAATCACGGACGACACACTATTCTTCAAGGCCTAACATATTTCATTATACACCCCTAAAACAGATTCATATGACTACACACCACTGCAAATGGCGTAATCTCTCACTGCAGTATGGCTAAAACTGACCGTATGGTGAAGGAAATGAAACTGAAGCAGTTGTTTCAATTAATTTGCACTATGGTGTATAACTAGACAACAAGAAAAATTGTACATTAACTGATTTCAAATTGTCAAAATATTCAAAATGGAAGCTGTAATAAGTCAAGAAGCACAGCTGTGGAAATGCATGCTATTTACATGTAAAAGAATTCTGACAATGTCCGCTATGATATGCTAGAGATAATACGCTTCGTCATATAAATGTTAAGATAACTTTGTCTATTTCCTTGTCAGTAGGGATTTAGAACTAACACAACAAGCTTTTCGTACCCTTGGAAGAAATGTGTGAATTACAAAACATCGAATCAGTCCCACCTGCAGTTTTTTTTTGCTGATAATCCGATCTACATATATAAACAGTAAATTCTATCGTTGCTTAAAAGTCGTGTTTACTTGCCGCAGAAAAGACACGATACATTCCAGGTGGGATTATCTTTTGTCGGATTCTGATTTGGCTATGTGCTTTCCTTGTTAAAAAAGCAAACATTTTAGGGGTGGGGGCAGTGTACATATAATCATAGAAGATGTAGAAAATATACTCCGGCCAAAGAGGGTAAATCTCCTACGATTCGCTTATATATATATTCAGATTATTCTTTCTTTCTTCAAGTCAATCTGGTACATCCAATCTCAAATATATTTTTCGCCAAGTGAATATATCGGTTTCTTAATACACAGCGAAGTAAGGACACGGACAAACGCCCTATTGAACGAAAGATCAAGGGTGAATTGTTAGTTGAAAGTTTATGGGTTTTCAAAGAAACAAGATAAAAATGGTATGTACATTCTAGAGCATGACATAGGTATTTGAGATAAGTTGGCTAAAGATAAATATGAATATACATTATTAGATAGATAGATAGATAGATAACAATATGCTGAAACATTAAAATAGATAGAATTTAATGGGGTGAGATAGATAGATAGATAGATAGATAGATTAGAATACGCGGCAACAGAATATATATATATAAATTGTTGGAGGTACAAAACCGTAATATTGCAAGGAATAAATACGAATTATTTCTTAATGGCATTATGAAAAATGAAAAAATAAAAATTAAGAGATGATAACACTTTCAAAGCAGACCAACCGGTTTCGTTCCCAAGCTCATCAGGGTCGACTGGGAACAATTTCACAATTATTGCAATATAAATTGACTCACTCACAAACCCTACATACAATTAAAACTTTAAAAATGAAAAGATTAATGGTATGAGGGAAAAAAAAATATTATATATATATATATTTTTTTTTTAGACCGTGCGAATATGCACAGTGAAAAGTGGGAAAAAAATTTAACAGGGAGTGTGAGGGGAATTATATATATATATATATATATATATATATATATATATATATATATATAACGAGAGAGAGATAACCAGTGATAAATGAATACCAAAAAACAGAATGATAGATAGATAGATAGATAGATAGATATGAATAGGCTGTGATATATAGATGATAGATCGATAGATTTGAATAGACTGAGACAGATAAAAAGTTTGGGATACGCAGAAACAGATGGATAGATAGATAGATAGATAGATAGATAGATAGATAGATAGATAGATAGATAGATAGATAGATACTGAAAGAAAGTATGAAGGGAATGACATGTATGAATATTATGGCATATGGTAGATATATTTATATAAATATAGATACGAATATGCCAAGACAAAACTATATAGATATATAGAAAGCGATAAAATCATTAAGCTATAAATATAAAACCTGAATAAAAAAAAAAATTTTGATGGAAATTTTCATATTTATGAATGTAAACGTTTGAGATAAATAGAAATTGTTATATATATATATATATATATATATATATATATATATATATATATATATATATTATGAAATGTTAATAACCCGATTAGAAGTTTTAGTCGTTTAAACACATGCATTTTTGCCCAGGTAACTTGTATCTTCCAACATAAGAGTTTATAATATATATATATTCAAAATTGTTACATTGGAACATGCAATGTTCCAGTGTAACAGTTTATAATAAACATTTATTGCTCTAATCTTGTATTGAGCCATTCTTTAATGTTATGAACGTTTGAATTTATATTCTTTTTCTTTTTTACATTTGTATGTATATATATATATATATATATATATATATACTAAATGTTGTATTTATATATATATATATATATATATATATACACACATATAAAAGAAAGGTTTATATATATATATATATATATATATATATATATATATATATATATATATATATATGTGTGTGTGTATATATATATATATATATATATATATATATATATATATATATATATATATTTTCTTTTCAATACAGCGGAGAAGGTATATTTAATTAATTTTTGATTCCTGCATCCCTTCGTTTTTTATTCTTTTTTTTGTTCGTGGTGTAAGCAAGTACAAAATCTATCCATAATTGTCATTTTCTCAAACGCTTTCGGCTATTCTATAGATATTTTCAGGGGTATTTTGTCTCTGATGCAGTTATTTTCCCTCATACTTTGACTTTTATGTTGTAATTTATTTTTGCGTTGTTTTGAATAGTTGTTTTTATTCTAAGCTCGCACGTATTGCGCGCGGATGGAATTCGCCTGAGCAACAAGCTATAAAAAAAAAACAAACAAAAAAAACATTTAACACTCCATTTCCAATGTTAAATAATGTGGGATTGATAGCAAGACTGAAATGTTTGAGATATATGGCCTCGCTAATAGAATGATGTTTCTGACAATGTGACTTATATAGAATTCTAATGGCTTTACCAGATTTTTTCTGAAAGCTTCTTGTAAATTCTGGGTTGATAGATTTTTTTTTTATAGGACTTTGGTTTGACAAGTTACAAGTGAGTCGTCTATGCAAGGAGGTGGTATATATTTAATAGTTAATTGATTTTTTAACCAAAAAAACACTGTCTTGTACTTAGCACTGAAAGCGATACGCTATATTGGTCATTCCTCGATTAGGTTTGCGTTCTTCCATTTTCTGTAATATGTTATAAAATTTACACTTTTTTTAGGAACTACGACAGAAATATCGTATTTACTGATACTTCGTATTGCAAAATCATCCTGCTTATAATTATTGTTCATCTTGTTGCAGTAAAATATCTTGATGTTTTTTTTGTTTTTGTTTTTTTTTTGTTATTTTTATTACTGGTATAATAAAAAATGAACCGTTGGTTGGATTTAACGAAACTAATTATTTAGTCGCAACTGAACTAGCGAGACGAACTTACTAACCATTATATCACGTACAAGTTCAGAAATGATATTCTAAGCTCCAGTTAGCTTGATGCCGAAAGTAAGTAGCATACTGGCTGGTCATTACGTCATTTTTCTCTATCACCGCTAACGCGATAGTCAGGTCTAAAAGAGCCAAGAACTTTAGCGAAACTCCAATGACCCTTCTACCTATCGGCATATTTCTACTTTTTTTTGTCAAAGTAAAAGTGCTTTTAAACAACCCAGTATTGGTTAAAAATACCACATCGCCGGGCTTTCTTCAAGACAACAAAATAGATCCTCGCTTTTGCAGGGGAACTGCTGATGTATTAACAGTTATTGCTGAAAGAGTCTATCAAGATTTAGATAAGAATGCTGAAGACCAATGTTTGGCTTTGGTTACCTCAATGTTAATTGTCTTATTCATATGTTATGTTTTTCTCTGTAATAATCCGGACTTCTTCAGGTGATTGGAATGTCGAACTGAACCATTTATTTCGCTCACTGCGGTAGACTGTTCTAGTTCCACCTGCCATGTTTAATGGATGTCAGTTATCTCCTGTTAATTACCCTCTCCAAGTTCTCCACCGCCTTAAACAGATATTGAACTCACACTGTTTGGATCCTGTCACAGGATCTAACTAACACCTTTATCCAATGTGTCATGTTTCCTTTGTGCGTACAACGGTCGAAACATTGTGATAAATATGGCGACACAGATGAAGATAATAGTCCAAATAACGTAAATAGTGTACATAATACCCCATCTCAGAAATATATACAGATAATGAAAGGCCGAAACGTTGTAATAAATATGTCGAAAAAGATGAGTATAATAGTTCGAATAATGTAAATAATGTACATAATACCTCATCTCATAAATATAGACAGATAATGAAAGGCCGAAACGTTGTAATAAATATGTCGAAAAAAATGAGTATAATAATTCGAATAATGTAAATTATGTACATAATACCCCATCTCAGAAATATAGACAGATAATGAAAGGCCGAAACGTTGTAATAAATATGTCGAAAAAGATGAGTATAATAGTTCGAATAATGTAAATAATGTACATAATACCTCATCTCAGAAATATAGACAGATACTGAAAGGCCGAAACGTTGTAATAAATATGTCGAAAAAGATGAGTATAATAGTTCGAATAATGTAAATAATGTACATAATACCTCATCTCAGAAATATAGACAGATAATGAAAGGCCGAAACGTTGTAATAAATATGTCGAAAAAGATGAGTATAATAGTTCGAATAATGTATATAATGTATATAATACCTCATCTCAGAAATATAGACAGATACTGATGAATTAATCGTAAACAGCCACTTTTCTAACCTTAGACATACGTTGTTCTTAATTTTAATCAACGATCTTCCAGATGTCATCAGTTCTCAAGTCGGTAACATTACTGATGTCGCAACTATTTACACCTGTCTTAATGGTGAGCCCGATTTGTTTCATATGGCTAAATTGGCATCTATTGCTCTCTGAAGCAATAAATGGCTTTTTTATTTTAACGGATTCAAAATGAAATTACATCCTTTCATCGTCTGAGAGATCATTTTCTGCCTTCGATCGGCATTATTGGTTAGTTCTTGAGACTTCTCCCCTCTAACATTTTCAAATGGCATTAAGTAGAATGATTATATTGAATCCATTGCTATGTCCGTTTCTAGGAAAAGTTGGTATACATTGTCGTGGTGGAAAATTTTTCCCGCCAAGATCTAATTTATAAATCTCCCTTTAGACTATGGATCGAATATTACTGTCAGATCTGGTCTGGTGTTTCAACTATGTATTTAGAGATAGTATTTAGAGATAACGGCTCGGATTGAGGAACCGGAGAGCCGAGTTGGAATTCCAGTCAAATCCATTACATTCACTTACGTGCTAACAACCTTGGGAATGGTATGAATACTCCCCTTTTCACCAGCTATAGGTAAATATCAGGAGAGATCAGGCAATTGCTCTACCGCAGGAAGAAATGGGAAAAAATCTGCCTCGTTAGTTATGTATCGAAAGATACATGATCGGCTAAGCGTGTATCACGCATGGCATAGATCTGAATTATATATATATATATATATATATATATATATATATATATATATATATATATATATATATGTCGTTTTCTTTTTTACCCGTGTGTAGATAGCGAAAGGGTTATTGTTTCACTCAGTAGAATCCTCGAAGTGATTTCGAATTCTTGGCTTGTCTGTTCCGTTACTCTTGCTTAAGTACCCTTGAAGAAGACATACATGTCTCTCCCGTCCGACCCGAAATTTGGTTAAATGGATGAGTATACTGTGATCTAAAATACCCTTGGACAGCTAACAGTCTAATCGGACGTAAACAGCGAAGGACATCGTCAGCCGAATTGCCTATCTTTCTCGAAAATAACGCCAGTTCACAGATTAATGATTCATAATTACTCTGTCCACAGTTTTCTTTCTCCTAGACGGATTCCAACCAAGGCTAGAAAGCCCGTTTTGCCCAGTTATTTAATCCACTTGAATGTTTTTGCAACACGCCCTACACTTACTGGAATTCTCACAGTATTTATTTTTGTTTAATTTATCATTAACATTTTTGTCGAGATTTACAAACGACAGTTTCGTTCAATTTAGCAAACCATTCGAGGAAATCTGAATATGTTGATTTTTTTATTTATATTGTTTAGACTGTTGCACTCGTCGTTATTGCCATATTCACGACGTTTCGGACGTAGTACGCTCCGACCTTCTTCAGGTGAATGGAATTTCGAACTCAACCATTTATTTCGCCCAGCGGTGTAGGTTGCTCCTGTTCCACGTGCCATGCATCTTGCAGACGTCACCGTTATCTCCTTTTAACTTAACTCTCCTAGTTTTTATTCACCGCTGCCGTAGCTAGGTATTGAACTCACGGTGAGCGGAATAAAGAGTTCATTTTGAAATTCCAAACACCTGAAGAAGGCCGAAGCGTCCTAACTATATTTTTGCGAATGTGGACGCAAGGAAATCGGTCGGAATTCGAAACAGATTCCAATTCGCCATGAATAAAAGTCGTGAATATAGCAATCAAGATGGTCACAAAAGTTCGAACAATGTAAATAACGTAAATACTTACAATAACTCATCTCAGAAATATGGACAGTTCCTGAAGAAGGCCGGAGTGTACAATGGCCGAAACGTCAGGAATATAACAATAAAGATGAGGACAACAATCCGAACAATGTAAATAACGTAAATAATTACAATAACTCATCTCAGAAATATAGACAGTTCCTGACGAAGGCCGGAGTGTACAATGGCCGAAACGTCGTGAACATGACAATAACGATGAGAACAAAAGTCCGAACAACGTAAATAATTAC